TAACTTACTCCTCAAAGGCTGTTGATTGCAAAACAGGAAAGAAATTGAGTTATTTTGTTTTGCTACCTCCTTGTTCCTTCCCGAGTAAATTCTTGTCAAATCTGTTTTCACCTCTGTAAGACATAGTGGCATAGTTCTGGTGTGAGTGGAGATCATTTTTGGAAAGAACTGTCAGGAAAAAAGTGGATACAAACCAAATTACAATATCATTGTCAGAAGAGGTCTCAAAAGCAACATATCCTGGAACTGAGTGCCCCTGATTTTTATTGCAGGAGACTGTGAATGAACAAGCAGTTGAGAAGTTTCTGCTCATTTAAATTGCAGATTTGGCACAAGGTCCCATACAGGTGTTCTGCTTGTACAAATAAACTGTAACCTGCCAGGAAGAGAGCAGGCTTGGGGTGTTTGGTTTGGTTTTCGGTTTTTTTTCTCTCTGAAATAACTTTCTTTTGTAAGGTTTTGGTCAGATAACTTCCTAAACTTAAAACAAACTCCATTGCATGTGCTGTCTTGAGAAGTGGCAGTGTATTTTGAATTTTTTAGAAGTCTTTTATGTTTCCATGTCACCTTGTCACAACCTTCTTCCTGCTTCTCAGAGTGTATTTTTATTCTGACTTGGCCTCAGCAGACATAAAGCTGTGTTGGTGTGGAGAGCTGTGCTCAGTCCTTTGGTGGCAGGGAGCCTTTAGCTCAAATTCCATTGACTGCAGCCCTAGTGAAAAACAACTTCCTCAGGGTGTGGAGCAGCAAAAAATAATCCATTCCAACTCATTGCAAAACAAAACCAACCCTTAAATGATTGCAAAACTTTTTTTTTTTTTCTGGAAGTGTAGTTTGCTGGTCCCTGCTAGCATACATATTGTGAAGCATTTCAAATCTTCCCAGTGTTCACATAATATCCATTATGATAGTTTGATATAAGCTATCAAAGATGTCAGTACTTATGTCTGTCCCAAATTCCATGTATCAAAATGAATTTAAAATTAAAGTTTTAAATAAATTCGTTATCTGCAATAAGATCCCAACCCAAATCAACTTTGGGATTTTTAATTATGTAATTTTTCAGATTTAAGGTTTTTATGTACCCTTAATTTATTGTAGATTCTTATTGAGTATTATTCAGTCTTACCTGTTTAAATTTCTTCAACTATATGTGCACCATCTGAGTATTGAGGAATGCAAATTGTTTAAAAAAATAAAGATTTTCCTCTTTGTGAATGTTAATGTGAAAATTTTTGTAGTCTTTCTGTTCTAAGACTTTATTCTTTTGTTTAAACTAAATTCTGTAGCATAACTCTAACATTCCTCAGGTGAATCCTTTAATGAAACTGTTGGGTTAGAAAAGAATGGGGAGGAAGAGGATTATGAATAATAAAAGTAACCTGAAATACTAATACGAATTTCAGAATGTTTTTTGTAAACAGTGCTCAGTGCCTGTAAATGAACTATAAATTTTATAAACCTGGTTTCTGAAAGGTAATTCACAACCAACTGGTTTATAGCAGCTGCTCACACATCCGCAAGCCCCGTGATAAATACGTTGTGCTGTGAATTGGCTGCTGACTCTCGTTTCATGTGCTGGGCTATTGGCCACCACAGTGTTTGTGTGTACATAGGTATTAAAAGAATGGATGTAATTGTTACTATAAGGTGCTGTTTGGATTTTATCACAGCTGTTTGTTTTCCTTTGCTCCCCATACTGATAGATGCTGTTCCCTCTGAATTTGACAATAACTGCTTCTGGCAGAAGGTTTTCTATGCACTTACATTTTCCAGCCATGGCTTTTTCAGTTAAGGGTGTGGCTTTTTCTGACACACTTGTGTTAGAACAGGCTCTCGCATAGCAACACTTATCGTGGCAGAAAGTCTTCTGGCATTACGGCTTATCTTACTGGTGGCTGTAGTGCACTACATCAGAAAGAAACTGTCTGTACTGAAGTGTTGTGGGTGTGAAGACAGTCTTAATTTTTTTTCCAGTATAGGTTTTTACTGCATGGGCGGACTGTTGTGATTTTCAGTGTGACCTTCCAGTTAATAGAATCACTGGCCATTCCCCATGGTGTGTTTAGATTCCTTTTATTTATTTATTGGTCTTCATATTACTGGAGCTCTTACTGGAGAGTTCATCATGCCTTACTCCCAAAGGTTTTTCAAGGAAACTCATAAATAAATTTCAGTGGCTTTGCAAATCATTGTCAAGCATGTCTGCTTCTAGTTTGAAAGTTGATCCCTTTAACATCAGTAGCTGACAGCCATTGAAACAATTACTATTACAACAATTACTATTACAATTATGTTTAAACAATTTATTATTAGACCTTGCAGGGAGGATGCCATTAATTTTGAGTGTCTGCAAAACTGAGCTATGAAACAGATATTTAATTTTAGATATAAAATCATCACTGAATTTTCATCATTGATTTTCATGTGAAGTTATTGCCACTACATAGTGATGAAGTAATAGCTTTCCAAGACCTTCTTGAATGCCATTGTGTACTTGGATGGAGGAGTAATGCAACTTTGGCAAGACACTGTGATCCCATTTTAATAGTGCTCCTGTGGGCTGTTAGGGGCCAGCTTCTCTCCAATGTGAGTAGGAAACAGTGAAGTATTTATGTGTGTCATTCATTTGGAAATAGGTTTTGGCACTCTGAAAGTAAGATGGAATTAGTGTAAATAATTAAATGAAAAATTACATTTGCAGATGTGTGTACAGTTTAAATAAGATTGTGCATACACAAACATGACACTTGAACACAGCGTGAACATCAAATGCCTCAGCAGGCAGGAGCAGGCTGTTCTCTGCTGGTGGCAAGCTCAGACTTCCTAGTTTTCCTACGCCTTGCTTTTCAGTAAAGACACATTTGTGGCTGTGCTCTGCAGAGTGCAGTATAAAGTGAACTACTTGAGTTGTTTTCACTTGCCGTTGTGCTGTTTCTAAACTCCCTGATTTTTTTTGATAAGCAGAGGCTGGTGAAGTTCAGACTTTGATTGGGCCAAGTGAGCTGTTACTGTAAAGAGAGTAAGGCATGTTTGGGTCTGCAAATTGTTGTTTTTCAACAAGGCCCTGGGTGGAGAGGCAGTAGTATGGCTGATAGAGCTCAGGAGTTTGGAAAAAGTGTTAGTAGGCCTTCAAAAGCATTTTCAAGCAAGGAAGTGACAGATGGTGCATGCAAAAGGTTGTGAGGGGGAAGAGGACTTAGGAGTCTATTAGGCATCTAAAGCTGCCGAAGGAGAGGTGTCTGCTTTGCTGTAATTTCACTTGCTTAAAACTTCCTAGGTGTAATACTGTAAAAGTTTTTCCTTGTGGATAAAAGCATTATTTCTCCTTTCTGTACCCTGTATTTCTCCGTGGGTGAAGGAAAGTGAGCAATTTAAATAATAAAGATGTGCATATGAGCTTTAGAGAAGAAAACAATCAACCATGATGTTTGAAATCTAAACTTTAAAATGAAATATTTTAAACACTGCAGAGATGTCTTTGTGTGTTTATTTAGTAACTTAGTGGGTGGAAATCATTGAGTGTTTAAGTGCTAACATAGATTTTCATAGTAATATCCTGTTCTGCAGAGTCAAGGAAAATACTTTCTTTTGCTCATTGTGTTCCACTGTTTTCTTCACTCTGATATAAGAAACTAGTTGAATTTTGAAGCTTCTTTCCTAATGTAGGAATTAAAGAGGATGAAATCTGCTAATTCCGGAGTCTTGAAGTAGATAATTTTCTTCATCGTAATGATTTTGTTTAACATAATCTGCCTTTCAAAATTTATGTAAACTTGCCTTTGCTGTGTGCATCCACATCTGAAGTGGTTTTAGCTAATAAGCATACAAATAAATTACTAAGCAAATTAGAAGCAGTTTAAGATTAGTCCCTAGCAAAAATCTAAAAATGGCAAAAGAATAGAGACATATGTAAAACCTTACTAATTTTAGATGTAGATGATGAATGATTACTTACATTAAGATATATACAGTCTTTTCTACTTAGTTGTAATTTGGTATATCAGATGACCAGGAATTGGAGGCTTGAATCTCAAAGTGTTGCGAGGGCGGCTTTATTGAGCTGTCTTTTTTCCAGTGGAAGGCTTCAAAATTCTTCTGAGAAGGATTTTGGAATGAGGGTTGTAATACTGTGCCCAGAAAACTGGGATAATGTTACACAAAGGAATTGTTGTGAGTGGAAGAGGGAGGTGTGTATGAGCAATACTGGCTGAGCTTTCAGCCTTTCTGGTAGGTACAGGCACTTGCTGACTACAACATGTAAAACTGAAAGGAAGCCAGACCAGGGAATGGGGGCTGTGTGTGTCTGTGCTTTCCAGATTCCAAAAACCACATGCTCATGTAGTGATGTGCATGGTATTGAATGGACCTAAAATAAATGTGAAAAGAACACTTTGGGTTGCAAAATAAGATTTCTGAGTTTGTATCCAGAAATGTGTTGGCAGTAAAAGCATGTTTTGGTGGAGCTGATTCTTCATATTAATGAACATGTGTAATATACTAATTGCAGTGATGATTTAATTTCTGATTTATGCAATATTCTTTTTATCTGCTTTAACTTTTTATGAAAAAACTAAAAGACAAAAGCCCCAAACCAATGAGTTTAGACCTTGTGTCTGGAACTTCAGTCATCGTCTCTGAGAAGGTTTGAAAGACTCCCATTCTTCTAAAAACCAATCTACCAGACAGCTTTAAGGGGTTTTTTTTATTTTTTTTTCCCAGTGTAAATGGGAGGTCTCATATTAGTTCTGTGCTGCATGAATTGATATAGCATATTGGACTTTTCATATATGTTAGCATACTTTTCTGATCTTATATATTAAAATCTTGTTTCCTACTCTAGAATAGTGCTATCCAGTTGCACAAACATGGTTTCTCATTTTGGAAGACATGCTAATTTTAAATGGATATGAACTATTACTTGAAGATAGAAACACACAAATTTTGTAATTATTTCCTTGCTTGATTTATTTATTCCTCCTCTCTCTCCTTCTTCATAGGTTCCTTAAAACTGTGCTATGAATGGTGATTCTGGTGTGGGGGTGGTGACTTCACCACCTCCAACAACAGCCCCTCATAAAGAGAGATATTTTGATCGAGTTGATGAAAATAATCCGGAATATTTGAGAGAAAGAAACATGGCACCTGACCTTCGCCAGGATTTTAACATGATGGAACAGAAGAAGAGAGTCTCCATGATTCTTCAAAGCCCAGTAAGAAAAGAAATGCTTCATCTTTAAAGTAACAAATTAAACATCTTCACTATCAGTACAGAATTGGAGAATTTTGTGGTATCTTAGATCCATTTATTCTTTTTTCTCATTGGCCTTTCCTGATTTTCTCCTCATTCCTCATTCATTTGAATTTTTTATGGTCTACTCACAAAGCAGCTCTTCAGTCTGGCTTTCAGAATTCTCTGTATACTCATCAACATTTTTTTCATATTTTTCATCCAATCCTTGTAAAAAATTTTTTTTCACTGGTTTAATGTATTTGTTCAAATGTAACTCTCTTAAGCGTAGCTTATACAAGGCTGGACTGTCCTGTACTCAGTTATTCTTTTGGGGTTTGGACATATGAAATATTTTTATAATCCCTTTCTGAAAAGGTGCACAGTAATGAAGTATGAATGATTGGCATTTAATATTGAAGATGTTCCCTTGGGGAGATAGTGCACTAACTCATGACATTTGTTCCTTTTGTAATAACTAGTGGGTGACTTTAGATACAAAACATTACGTGACATAACTTCACTTGGAATAAGGATGTGGTGGTTCACAATTTTCCTATTAAGTCAACCCATTTGATTTATGAAAATATTAATAAATTGCTTCATAAAAAAGTAATGACTTAATGACTGCAGTACATCTCTTTCAGTACTAATTCCACTGTTCTTGTCAAAAGCAGGAGCTATCAGCAATAGTAAAAACTCATATTTTCTTCCTTCCAAGTTAAAATATATTAAAAAAAAGCAAACAAAAATCCCTGGGGAAAATGTAAACAACCCCTCATCTAAACAGGTTTTAAAAATTTAATGTTCATTGTTTTCTGCATTCCTGGATGCTTTTCTGGCTCTCAGTTCCCTGTTAGCTGCAGTGACAAATTTTCTTTTCTGGTTCTGCTACTTTTCCTTTCCCATTTTGTGTTAAAGTTGATTGTACATTCTCCTCCTTTCAGAAATTCGTACTAGGAAGGCTCAAAGACTTTTGGCGTTACTTAAAAAGAGTATGCTGGAATTTCCATTAAAAAACCCCAAGTGACTCAGATCACTGGAGCTTCAGAGAGCAATGTTTTGAAGTTATAGTGTGCACCCAGTAGTTCTGCCTTGAGGTGTTTTTCAGAAGAGGTGTAGAATGGTTTCATCGAAGTGCTAAAAAGAAGCTGTGTATGAAAGGCTGAAGTTCATTTAAACATGTATTACAACATACAATGTTTTGTTACTAGGCCTTCTGTGAAGAATTGGAATCCATGATCCAGGAACAGTTTAAGAAGGGGAAGAACCCAACAGGTTTATTGGCTTTACAGCAGATTGCAGATTTCATGACAACGCATGTACCAAATGTCTACCCTGCAGCACCTCAAGGTGGAATGGCTGCATTAAACATGAGTGAGTGCACCTTCAGTGATCAGAACTGAATTCCTTTCTTTATTTTATTGAAAGGCTGAAAATGAAGACAGTGTGAATGAAATAGAGTACTGTGAAGTTCAAATGCTGTCCTATTCCGCTCACACAAACGCTGAACACATGAAATTAATTGATTAGCTCCTAAATGCCACAGTGGTATGCAAAGTGATTAATGTATATAGTTTATGTCAAAAGCTGTTTCAAGGGTGGCGTCTAAATTGAAAAATAAGCCTGATAAGCGCTATTAACATTTTTTAAATATTTAAATACTGCTAATTATGACGTGGTTTGTCTTCAAGAAAATCAAACACTCATTAGTAGTCTGGTAACAGTGGAGGTCTTTAGAAACTAATTATTTTTGCCACTGAAATACTGTTTGCAGCTTTCTCCTGTGAAATGAAACTTTAGACAAGAAACATCAGCAAGCAAAACAAAGCAGGAAAAAAAACAGAATGTGCAAATGCATATACACACAGGTTTTGTGTTAAGATAAAATAAATCCTTTCCTTTGCTCCAAAAGAAACCTTAAGTTCTGACTGTAGCATGGCCTGGTTCTGCTTTTTTATGGTTCCTTTTAACCACATTTCTAATTGTGCTGTAACTGGAATTACAGTATTTGTATTATTTACCTTGATCTTCCTCTCTTTATCTTGTATTTAATTCTTTTAATAAATGAATTCGTATACTTAATTTTTCTTAATAAATGAACCTTTTTACATCTTTTTGGGTGTGTAATTCTCCTTGTCAGGAGAATTATTCCACAAATTCTCTCTATATAAAGATATTCTAAATATTATGGAGAAATATTCCACAAAAAGTGGAATATTTGGCATTACATTTTTCTTTTAACAATGATTATGTATTTTATAAACAAGTAATAGGTTGAGAGAGGAAAAAAAAAATTTTGCTAAGGAATGCACTGTCGTGTCAACACTAATTTATAGTAGGGAAGGAAATGAATGTTAAGTCTACCAAAGCTGAACAACCTTGCTCAAGCTTGTCATTGTATTTGTGTAATATAAATTATTTCATTATAGGAATGAAAATTTGCTGTGCATTTCATAGGTTAATGTGTTCATATAAACCAGTAAGAACAACCAATATAATAGTGGTGCATGTTCCTAGATTTGAACTGATACTGAACTCAGCCTTCCTTGTGCTTTTTTTTACCCCTTCTCCTCTTCAGGTCTTGGCATGGTAACACCAGTGAATGATCTGAGAGGGTCAGATTCCATTGCTTATGAAAAAGGGGAGAAGTTGTTACGATGCAAATTGGCAGCTTTCTACAGATTAGCAGATCTCTTTGGCTGGTCTCAGCTTATTTACAATCATATAACAGTGAGTATTGAATCAACAGATAACTGAACCAATTGTTTTAACATACAAGAGAATTGCTTCCCTCCCCTATCTGTCATTTTCTCTTTGTGTGTAAGAAGAGCAAAGTGGTATTGAAAGCAGTATAATAGTGAAGAGATTTGTCATTGCATTTCAGCTTGGATGTCAGCTACCACAGTCTGAATAGAGTCTTGAGAGAGTGTACATGAGAATTCTTAGGATGAAATAAAGATTGCTGAAAGACTCAGTCTTTTAGTGTCTCAAATGCTTTGAATAATTGTATTTATTATTCCACAAGGTAATTTCTTAGTTTTCTTGCTTTTTCTGCTAAGTACTAAAATATCTTCTTAGTCATTCAGTTGAAATTTGTAATTCAGGTAGCAGCTTTTCTGAAAAAGAGGCCATAGTATTTCAGAACATGAGCGAGCTTCTCCGCTTAATGCAGCGTGCCAACAATTTTCCTTGTGACTGAGTAATCACTGGCATCCATAAAAATGATGACAAGGGGGTCAAATCAAGGAGGTTTTATACACCAGAAGAATGATCAACATGAGTCTCATGAGTAAAGTCACAGCTGTGGTGTTCAGCCCTGTCAATTGTTGTCCTAACAGAGATGAATTGTTTTTTATTCTACATAGTAGGGGTTGTCCTTTATGTATTTTCAGTTCTTCTAGTTGCAGTTGGAATGAAATATGGTAATATTATTTTTACTGCTTTTTGAGAATTCAAGGCATATTTTTTGTGAACAGATGAAGAAGATAAAGGATACGTGTAGGCATAGGATCAAGACACAGTAGTGGTTAGATCGTTCGGTTCCTTTTGTAAGGGAACATATCCAACATAATGGTTCTTGTAAACAGCTCTGCACCACCCCCAGATTTTTCATATGTGACAGGAGAATTGATTTTGTAAAAGGGACATTAATGCAATGAAAGGATTTCTAGGCAAGCAGGTTTGGAAATGGCTTTCTAGTGTGAAGTTCAGCCCTGGGAATGTTTCTACATTTAGATAAAAGATAAATGTAATGAAGAGCAGCATGTCAAGGAAAGGGGTTGAAGGGCATGTGATTGGGGTGGCATGCCTCAAGTTTGCTTTCTCTGGGGAGGAGTACAAAGAAGATACCTGTAGAGGAGGTACCAGTTGAGGTGGATGACAATCAAAGCACTTGGAAAATGAGATTCTGAAAGTGGTTTAGTCACTTCTGAATGGCACAGGTACTGGAAGGCTCTTGGTTTGTCAACAGCAGTCCGAAGTCATAGTTCTGTCTTTTACAAGCTCCTCCAGTGAACAACATTCTGAAAGATGATTGAAAGATAATTTATCTTCAGAAGCTGATATAGAGCAAGGTTGTTATGTTTATTAAGTAGTACTAAGATAACCTTTTGAAATGTGAATGCTACTTTGTGCAGGGCTGGTGTTTGACTCCGGGTTTTCACTTCTTTTGTGAGTGGATGCTGTAATTACTGGATCATTGCATTCAAGTTAAAAGCTTGTGCCAGTGCACTTGTGAAGTAAGAGAAAAGGTACAACAGCCTCCTGTGATGGGCACATACTGTCATACCCTCACAATTTCCATCTGGGCATATCAGGGAGTTGGGTGGAGTATCGTTGCGTTTTTTGGATCCTTATCACTGGCAGTTACTGTATGTGGAATTGCTCAGACTGGTGCAGTCCTGATGCAGAAGCAGAATTACAGAGCATCAAGAGCTTTCATGCCAAGTATAATAATGTTGAGTACACTTGGGTACCTCCAGGGTTTTCATGTCAAGTGCAATAGTGTAGAGTAAGCTTGGGTGCCTCCAGGGTCAGGCAGAATTTGAGATTACAGGTTTACAGAAGGTAGACATCATTCACCAGGTCTTGGTTTGCTTTGAGAGCATGAGCTGTTAATTGGATCTAATCCTAAAGCAAAGTGGTTTGTGAGTCTTGCTGCTTGTTTGTCTTCAATTTGAGCTTTCTTGTTAGCTTTTGGGATATTTTGAATAGTACTTGTTGTTTGTCTTGCATAAATAAGTAAGAGATTTTTCTCGATCATTTGCACTTCTGTAGTGGAGAACTACTTTGGTGATTCATAAAAATACAGATTAACTTCAACTGACTGCTTCAATTTAAGGCTCTTATGCTGTAGCATGTTCCCAGCTGGTTGTAAAGGAAACTAGATCTGTGCTAGAAGCTTTTGCATGACTGCACTACTACTTATTAGAATTTTTTCCCTGCAGTAGAACTATAGCAAAGCATATGTATATTTAATGTTGCAAGTATAAAAGACGTGAGACAGAAATAGCATAAAGTAGCTGCATCTCAGGGAAATTCAAAACTCATTAATTGAATTGAAGTAAAACCCAAACAACAACCAAACAAAAAACTCAAACCCATAACACAAACTACACAAATGCTGTTGTAGCTCATAGCAAAGGAGGGAGTTGTCTCATGTGTCCAGTAAAACTTAGGAAGCCTATTAATTCATCATCAAAAGACACCTTAATTACTTAGATGTCCTGTACTTTTCATTGTACAGACTTCTAAGAGATGCATCCAAAGATGTGAATGCTTTGAAGCCAGAATTATTTTTGTATTTTGTATTTTAAACCCCTGATTTTGTCAATGAGGTGAGGGAAAAAAACCAGAAGTGAAGGTCAGGATACTTGGTAGAAAAATTTCAAGTACTGTTCACAGATGTCTCACAGGAACCAGCATCAGTGATGAAACCCTTCTCAGCATCAAGATGTTTTAGATCTGTGGGCCAGTTCTTGCCTTTTCTCACAGCCTTTTACTTTATACCTTCTGTCTTACTAGGGTAGAAATACAGCTGAGAGTAAACTCATTCAACTTAAAGAAATAACTTTTTTTCCTCATTTCTCTCAGTATTGTTCATTTTATCCATAGCAGGTGAGTTGTCATTATAACAGAATATAAGGATTTACTCAATTGCACCAATCTGAAGGACTCTGGCATGTTACTGCCATCTGCTTTTGTTCAACATGAGTTAATTAACAGTGCTGTGCACTGGTTATCTGTTATAGCAAACATGAAAGTTGTGTGTTATATGCATACTTGCCTATTCCACAATAAGGATGTAAAAGTAACTTTAATGGTTTCAGGTCTTCTTGTATGCTTTAAAATCTATTAGCATCTTGTATGCTAATAAAATTTTCTTAGTAACTCTTGTTTTATCCTTAGGCCAGAGTAAATTCTGAGCAAGAGCATTTCCTTATTGTACCTTTTGGACTCCTCTATAGTGAAGTCACTGCATCTAGTCTGGTAAGCAATTGTTCATTTTCATAGCTGTAAAATATTCATATATGTATGTATATATACATTAATATATATGTATCTCTTAATTCTATCCTAGAGACTATTTTACTCTTGCATAATATGTTTAGAACAATGTTATTGAACATGGCTGGTTTTGGTACTGCTGAGGCATCTGAGAGATTTCTTTGCCCATGTTCACCACCAGATGTCTGCCCATTGATCTACCTGTAAAGAGGTGTCAGGTCATTTGGACAGTGAATCGCCTCATGCCCTTGAAAGCTGCTGGCTGTTGAGTCCAGCTTGTTGAGGGAAACTTTAGACATTTCAGATATAAATGATGACAACTGGTTTTAGAGTCTCAGTCATAGATGCTGAATTAAATCAGGTTTTTTGAGTCTTGATTATGAAAATAATTCTTTTTATTCCCAGGTTAAAATCAATATTCAGGGAGATGTGGTTGATCGTGGAAGCACTAACTTGGGAGTAAACCAAGCTGGTTTTACGTTGCACTCAGCAATTTATGCAGCTCGACCTGATGTCAAATGCATTGTCCATATCCACACACCAGCAGGTGCAGCGGTAAGCTCACTTCCAGCTTTGATCTGTTTCCTGTTCCCCCACCCCTCCCAAAGGGAGAGTAGGTGGGTCCCCTTAATCATATATTTGCTTCTTATTTGGAGGGCATAGAACCTTTTAGTCTGTCTTCAAGTATGGTTCTGTTTGAATCAGAGCCCATCCTTAATGCATTGTTACCTGAATGGTCAGACTGTTAATTGAGTTCCATCACTGGAAAATGTGTATATCATAAATGTATGTCCTTTACCACAAAAGACCACCTTTTGACAGTGAGTCATGAAAGCTTTAGCATATTTTGTTAGTTTTGTAAAGCACAGTTTATCAAGGTTTCCTGAAATATTCAAAACTTTCCCAATATTTCTCTTTGGAGAAGCTGATTACAATTCAGTTCTGCTTGTTTGGAATGTTTTGAGAGACTTTCAGTGTTCACATTCTGATGATTTTTTTTAAATAATTAATTAATCAGATTAATTCAATCATTTTAAGGACAAATGATAAAATTCCTAAAATTGTGAATTACAGAATAGCCTTTTTTAAAATGTTCTTTATCTGCAGTGCTGCAGAATTATCTGTATCACCAAAGTTCTTCTTTTGGCATGGGGGCAGGAGGAGGAAATAATCTGGAATGGAATGGAAGGAGTGAAGGATGCAGTTGATTTTGGAGCTTGGTAGTTTCTTGGGGTTTTTTTTCCTGAGTCCTTTTATGTTGATGCTGCTGTCATTGAAAAGCAGGTATATTGAGACAGACCTAATATCAATGTGGCTTTTGTATCCAGTCCAAAAGTTATCAAAAATAGAGGCTTTAAGGATGGAGTATAAGACCACTGTTTATGTACCTGTTTAATACATAAAAATATATTCTTATTTTAATTCGCATCACTATATTTTTTCACTTTTTCTGTTACAAGAAATTAAATCAGTTGTTTTAATATTTCTCAGGTTTCTGCAATGAAGTGTGGTCTCTTGCCAATTTCACCTGAAGCACTTTCTCTAGGGGAAATAGCTTATCATGACTACCATGGTATTTTAGTGGATGATGAAGAAAAGGTGGTTATTCAGAAAAATCTGGGGCCTAAAAGTAAGGTCAGTATTAACATCTATAATTAAGAAAAAAGGAGGGGGGCGGGGGGCAGTGTGTTTGTGTGACAGGTATGTTCTTTAATCAGTAGCAAGTAGTCTTTGATCAAGAGCAAGAAAATACTTGGCATACTGCTATTAACTTTCTTTCAATGTTTCTCTAGGTCCTTATTCTCAGAAACCATGGCTTAGTATCAGTTGGGGAGACTGTTGAGGAGGCTTTCTACTATATTCATAACCTAGTGCTTGCCTGTGAGATACAAGTAAGAGCTTTAATATGTTATGTAATAACACAGCCTGCTGTATTAACCTCCAAACAGATTAATAATTGCATACTTTAGTGGCTTAACTCTTGGATCTAAACTAACACAGCAATGTGTGATATCACTACATTGTGGGGGGACATCCAAAACTTTGGTTTCACTGACAATATTCCACTACTGTATTGAAACAGTCAATTTGCTGCCCATTAAAACAGATACTTTCAAAGACCTCAGACAATTTTTACACAAGCATTTTCATTTATTTAGTTTTAAAATGAAGTAGATTTCTTCTGGGTTTATGCCAAGTTTTCAGGGGAATTTTTGGTTGTTTTCACCCCATTCCCCACAAGAAAGTTAAAGATGACTCTATTGCTTTTAAGGTACGTACTCTGGCCAGTGCAGGTGGACCTGACAACTTAGTGCTTCTTGATCCTGGGAAGTATAAAGCCAAGTCTCGTTCCCCTGAGTCTCCAGCAGGTGAGGGTACTGTATCCCATCCCAAATGGCAGATTGGCGAACAGGAGTTCGAAGCTCTTATGCGAATGCTTGATAATCTGGTAAGGCAGGCCTTTTTGTGTAATTTTTTGTATGATAATATACAAAATACGTTTTTTAAAGCTGCATGTAGTTGGGATAGTTTATACAGCCTGCAGCCTGTTCTTTCCCAAGGACTCAGAGACAACATGAAAAGCATCAGGTGTAGATGTACTTCGTACAGATTGTACAGATAGCATTATTTGTAATCTGATTGTTATTGGTGAGTTCAGAGGAGATCTTGTGGGATTTGGCTCTTGCAAATCAGAGTACTGTGGTACTTGTGCTCAATCTGTATTTTCCCCTCCATTCCCATCCCCTCTCAAAATGTGTAAAGCTATTAATGTCATATTAGGTGTGAGGTC